GGATATAATAAACAATTTGTGGAAAATCCATAATACCATTACGAATATTTTGCGCGATTAGGGATGCGTTCGCGTAACCTGATTATATTTTTAAAAGCAAATTCGGATTATGCGTTCGCGCAACTTCGAGCGAATATTTAATAAAAGGGATTTCTCCAAGGATGTTAAAATAATTTCATATAACCCGAAATGTGCAGTTCACTGTTTAATCATACAAGGGCGACGATGTTCTTAATTTTATTTCTAACTTCGAACGTATGATTTTTTTATATAATAAAAATATCATCAACCTTTTTATGTACACGTGTGCGTGGCATGATTCTTTGTGATTATAAAAGGTATATAATACGAGTATACGTACGCGTAATTCGTTTATATAATTGTAAACAATCTAAATAAAAGCGGTAACAAAATCATGCAATAAAAAATGTATTTAGTAAAATCAAGATAATTAACCCAAGAATAAAAACATTTGAGCGACCATGCTAGAACCATGGAATTCGGAAATGCCTAACACCTTCTTCCGGATTAACAGAATTCCTTACTCAGGATTTCTGGTTCGCAGAATAACAAACAGAGTCATATTCTCCTCGATTCATGGATTAAAACCGGTGACTTGGGACGCCTTAAAATTTCCAGGTGGCGACTCTGAAACAAATAAACCAATCCCGTTTCGACTGTCCTTTAATTGGAGAAAACTCCCTACGCACCCTCGCGGGCGCGGAAAAAGGAGGTGCGACAAAAGGAACACGAAAATTCAACTGTAATCAAGGATAAGGAAATCAAAGACAAGTGCACGGCATCACTCTTCGTGCTTTTACTCTCGTACTCACCATAAGAATCAATTCTAATCGGCACGACATCACCCTTTGTGCTTTTACCTCACATAATCATGGCACAGAATTATCCTTCGTGACTCATATCATGGAACGACATTGTACATCGTGCGGCACGGCATCACCCTTCATGCTTTTACCTCACAATATCGGTACGGCATCACCCTTCGTGCATCAATACTCTCAAAATCATACACGACATCACCCTTCGTGCTTTACACTCTTACTCACCCAAGCAACAATCACAAGCAGTTTGGGCAAGGGAATCAACAATATCACAATAAAATCCTGGTAAGGGAACAATAGCATAACAATAATATCCCGACAAGGGAAACAATATCATGAATAATAACATCCCGGCAAGGGAGATAATTTCAAAAGCAATAATATCCCGGCATGGAGACAATATCATAAACCTCTTCTCTTTTCCACAATTACTTCACAACTCAATTCTCAACTTGAGCCAACGCTCCACAATGTTCAATTACCAATAATACTTCCACAAGCCTTGTTCAACAATAGAATTCATCATATAAAGCATGAACAATACGAAACGGAGTCACATTAATCATAGTATAAGACTCACGGACATGCTAGACACCGAAATATAGATACTTGTCACCACGCCTATACGTCGTATTCAACAGTTAATACATAGCAAATAAGACACAACTCCTAATCCCTCAAGCTAAGGTTAGACCAACCATTTACCTCAATGCCATGAACACAATTCAAGCCTCAACTATCGCTTTACCTCTTATTTTCACCACCAATTCGCTTGTATCTAGCCACAATTTACTTAACGATATCAATAAATGCTAAATGAATCAATTCTAATGCATGAAAATAGGTTTTCTAAAGATTTTCCAAAAAAGTCAAAAATCGACCCCGGTCCCACATGGTCAAAACCCGAGGTTTGAACCAAAACCTGATTACTCATTCACCCATGAACTCAAGTATATAATTCGTTTCGAAATCGGACCTCAAATCGAGGTCCAAATCCCCAAAATTTGAAAATCCTAAGTTCTACCCAAAACACCCAATTTTCCCCATAAAAACCTTTGATTTTTAATTGAAATCATGTGAAAAGATGTTAGATTAAAGAAAATGAGTTAGAAACGTCTTACAATTGATTTGGAGAAGCACTTTTCTTTAGAAAATCGCCCAAGAGAGCTTAGGTTTTGAGAGAGTTTGAAAAATGAAGAAAATGCATCTAAGTCCAAATTAACTGGTCGCAGATGTCGCAATTGCGACCAAGGTTCGCAATTGAGAACCCCTTCAGGACCTGTTGTCTTCACAAACGCAAAGAATCTGTTGCATTTGCGACCATGGGAAAATCCTGTCACCTTCTTTATTGCAAAGGAAACATCGCATTTGCGATTGGGAGGGCTTTGCAATTCCCACCCAGTGTTCGCATTTGCGACACTGGGGTCGCATTTACCAAGCCTGTCCACTTCGCAATTGCGAAGCCAGATCTTGCAATTGCGAGATCAGAGGCTGGGGCAAAAATACCAGATACCAGCACTTGCTCCTAAGTCCAATTTCACTCCATGGCCTATCCAAAACTCACCCGAGCCCTCGGGGCTCCAAACCAAACATGCACGCAAGTCCAAAAACATCATACAGACTTGCTCGTGTGATCAAACCATCAAAGTAACATCAACAACTATGAATTAAACCTCAAATTCATGAAATCACTCAAGAACATCAAAATTACAATTTCTCAACTATAGGTCCGTATTATACCAAACCAACTCCGATCTTTACCAAATTTTACAGATTCAACTTAATAATTATTTCAAACGTATACTGGGATCCGGAACCAAGATATGGGCCCGATACCATCAAGAAAATACATCAATTCACTTCTAAAAATCTTTATATTTTTCCAGAAAATAATTTTCTTTAAAAATTCATTTCTCGGGCTTTTGACCTCAGAATTTGATTTCGAGTATACGTCCAAGTCCCAAATTTTACTACGGACCCTACGAGACCATCGGATCATGGATCCAGGTCCGTTTACC